TTCAAAGGAGTCCTGCAGTGGAAGTTAAACTGCTAAGAATATAACCCATCTGGGAGGCCTTTTAGTTCCTCCAAAAGTTATAAATGACTACATGCTCGGCACTTACAAAAACTATCACTATATTTTATATGCTCTAAAATTTCATCCATTTTAAGACAAACCATCGTTATATCAAGCACTGCAAATGATTGGTTCTGCCAGTCAAGCTGTGGCCTATTTGAGTGAGAGCCTCAAAAATGAAAGAAAAAGAAACAAAACCAAGTCTGTCATCTTGGAATTGATGCAATATGGTAGTGTTTTCCAGATCATGCAACTGCCTATGAGAACAACATGCTATCTACTTATTGATCGAGCACTCCATGGAACACCATTTCGTAGAGGGGTGGTGAGGAATGATTAGTGCATGCTATAGTAAAGTTTAACTGGAGAAGGGTGAATTCCTTTGGTTTCTATCATTATTTAAATTACTTTACTGCAGAGCTTCTCTTTCTATCCTGTCTTCCCTGTGACAATAAAAATAAGAATTTCAGGAAAAATCGTTTTAAATATTGATTTCCTTTTTGTTTTTCTAGATAAGCTTTCTCTGTGTAACATTCTGAGTGACCTGGAACTCCCTTTGTAGACCATGCTGGCCTCAAACTCATAGAGTTCTAGCTACCTTTGCCTCCTAAATGCTGGGATTAAAGGGATGACTACCACTGCCCACCTAAATATTGATTTTTTTTTACAAAAGGATAAAGTATAAATTTCTATGTGAGGAGCTCTCAAATAGGTGTTTAAGTTGCTTGTGGTTATCACAAATTTAGAAATTACTTCCAAAATGTCTTTTTTAAATTTACTTATAATTGAAAATGTGTCGGGAAAACGTTTTTTTCATTCATGTTTTCCCCAGTTATTGTTTAAGCCATGCACATTTTACCATGCTTATAATCCCAGTTAGTGTTTTTAAACTGTAGGCATTTTACCATGTCTATAAAAAATTTTAAAAAGGAAGTTTCCTGCACCCTTCTTCCTCTCACTCCCTCCAAGATCTCCCTTCCAAAATCAATGTCTGTGCCTTTAGTGACATTTGTGAACTTCTAAGATCTCCTTTCCAAAATCAATGTCTGTGCCTTTAGTGACATTTGTGAACTTCCTGTCTATCCAGGGTAGATCTGTATTCAATTCAGCATGCTGGAACATGGGGTAATTATGGCTGAGCCTCTGATGAGTGGTTTCTTATATATATATATATATATATATATATATATATATATATATATATAACATTATATAATATTTGTATGAAGCAATACATATCTTCTTAAATGCCTTTAATAATTTCTACATTACTTATAAACCCCAATGAAATGTAAGGGCCATATTAACAGTTGTTAAACTACGTGATTTAGAACAATTTATAACGGTAGCAAAATCACAGTTACGAAGTAGCTGCAAAATAATTTTATGATTGTGGGTCACCACAACATTAGGAACTGTATAAAGGGTCGCAGTATTTGGAAGTGTGAGACCCACTGTTCTAAATCACGTGATGAGTGGTTTCTATTACAAGGAAAGTCAACATTCTTCTGGACAATGTGGTGCCTTGATAGCAGAACATCTTTTAGTGGTGGAAATTGATGAATTTCCATTGTTCTTGAAAGAAGATTTCTATATACAAGAGAGAAATGGGTTCTAGAGACACCATTCTATTTAAATACCTAAATTAAATAATTTTATCAATGACATTAATAATAGTAATGCACCAGAAATAGCTTCAGTTTAAAATGTAGTATACTGGCTTAATCTTCCAATATTTCCAAAATACACCTCCCTTTCTTATTGTGTTTAAAATATTTGTATTAATTTTTTAAATATTTCACATTCAAACTCTTCCAAGATCTACATTTGCATTCCTACCCATCCGACATTGTTTTCCTTTTAAAAATACAATCTACCATATTAAAAAAAAACAGAAAAAACCATGATTATCTTAGATGCAGACAATAATTTTTTTAAAACACACTAGGTCTAATACTTTGGGGAGTGGGATCTGTCCTAGAGCATGGCAGACCTCCCAGGGCCAATCTTAATGTTAACTGACTTCATTCTCTCACAGAAGGTATCAAAATCCCAATACCTCATCAGCTAAGTGCATCACTTTGAGCCCATGTTCCCACCTTCATTCTGGCATATTTTTCTGGACTCAGATTTTGTGAATTCTGTAAAAGTTACTGTGTATTCATCTGTACAACTAACCAGCTGTGTCTAGAAAATACTGTTTTCTTGTAGTCATTTCTGCAACCACTTTCTGATTGGATTTCAGTTTCCCTTTCTGAGGTGGAAACCATGAAAAATCCTTTATTTTTCTGCATAAGTCACATTTGTGTTGAAAAACTAAAAAAATGCTGAAACTTCCTTAGATCCTTCTTTACAAAGATTTTTTTCTACTCTTTACAGTAGAGCAGAACTGAGGTGCTATGGGAATGCATACGTGAAGAAAGCCCTCTCATTCTGTGTAGGACATAGTCTCTGAAGGAACCATAGGTGAACTTCTCAGGAGTCAATTACCCAGAAACTCACTTTGACAACATTATTGCCATTTATTAAAAATTTCAGGATCATTATGTCTTACACACAGTTTTAAGGCTGGGAACACTGATGTTTCAAGAAGTCAAGGGACTTGGCCCACTAGATAGGATCAACTATCCGATCTCACCAAACTATAGGCAGTCTTATAGAGGAAACTTTTCTCTTGTATTCATCTGTACAGTTCACTGAGTATCAACTGCATAATGATCTTCTGCCAGTTAATAAGTAGCTAACCTGTATGTAAAACAGTGTAACTGAGCTAGTCATTATTATTTCTTTCTCATTGAAGGAAATCAAAATATACATCTTTATTTGTCTTAGCAATTTAATGGGTATTTTTTTCTGATAATACTCAATACTGCTTAAGAGAAAATGTACTGTTCTATTCACTATGGCTGAAATTTTACTAGATGTCAGATTGTTTTATTAAATCATTAAAAATTACATTAATTTATTTATGGGTGCGCTAACTGTGCAGATGTGTGTGCCTGTCATGATGTGTGTGGATGCCAGAGGGCAGATTTTAGAATTAATTCTTTCCTTTCACTATGTGGGTTCCAAAGATTGAACTCAGGTTTTCAGACTTCACTAGAAGCACCCTTATCGGCTGAACTATCTTCTCAGTCCTTTTAAGTGACAATAGAAACACAGCATGACGTAGATGATGAATATTATCAAAACACATTGGCTGATGTGGCTATAGTGAAGAGATGTTAATAATGGCAAACCCCAGTTTAACAACCAGGTAATATCATAAGATCCTGTTGAATTGCTTCTTTTCAGGAAGCTATGGCAGTTGAGACATTATTTTCATTGCATTTGTGCGTGTTTATAAATTTAAAAATCATTTATCATTAAACATTAAAAAGGTAAAAGAAAATGCTTTCAATTGTCTGTAAACTTATGTTTAGGACATCCATTGCTTATAGAGATTTTTGGTTGCTTAATCTTTTAAAAGTCTTTTAAAGCATATGAAAATACATAAGAATGTAAGTATTAATATCACATGGCCTGGTTTGAAAACAAAACAAGCAAATAAAACCTCACTGTCACCGTTCTATTTTGTAATAGATGCATACTAAATACAATGCTAAATTTTTGCATCTTAGAGGGTTTTAGATATTTTTGTACTTTTGCTTAGTTTTCACACAGAACTTTATCTTATTTTTAGACTGAAAACAGGAATCAGACAGAGAATACTAAAATGATCTTTCATGCTTGTTGGAAAGTTTTGTGATTTTAGAGAAGGTATATTAAAGGGGGAAATAATGTCTTGGAGACTAGGAAGCCCTGATAGTGGTTCTGGAACCTGGTGTTCTTGAGATGTGACCAAGCTGAGGTAGACTGCTCTCAGAGAAGTGTTAAATTAGAATGAGTAGAATGGAGTAGAATTCTACTGAAGAATGGAGTAGATTAGAAGCAATTTAATTTCGATAGCATTAAGCTTCATAGAGAAGCATATCTGTAAAATTGACATGGAATTTTATCCAAATGCACTCTTTACATTTGATTTGGTGGATTTTAGCATCGAGTTTCACTGAGTCCACTGAACATCTGTGCCTCGTAGAGGGGAAACACATCCCAACTCTAGAAAGTCTAAGACCCTTATGCAGGTATCCATCATCTCTAAACTTCAGTGATAACTGTCTGCCTTTCCCCAGGTTTGGCAGACTTTGATAAGCGTACAGCAGCCCCAGCTGATACTATTAAGTTTTATTTAAAAGAAAATTATCTCAGGATTGTTAGACGTTCCTGAAAGAGTGGGAATGATAAGTTGTCAGCACATGTGGGTTCAATAACTTGCTTTCTTCTCAGATACTGTAAGGTTTGTAAGTATTCAGAGTCCCCCTATATGCTCTGTCACCACCATAAGACGAAGGTTTCATGAGCATGTGTATGTGTATGGCAACTAAGTAGATAGAACTATGATAGCTCTGCTGCATAATAGATAAAGACCTTTAGAGACTGAACACCCTCCACAGTGGTACAATCTGCAAGCAGTGATGTTGGACTCACTAGTTTGGAACCCAATCAGGATCCTGTGTTTCATCTCTAATAATTGTAGTCTACTGAAACAATTCTTGATGTTTTCTTCATGAAAATATAATTAAAATTCCTGTATGATAATTTGCACACTTAAAACAAGTATAATTAACAAATTTCAACTCTTGCCTCATTCTCTAAGCAATCCGCAATAGGTCACACACAGATCTATGAGAGCAGGGTTTCTAAGTTCTGGACAAAAACAATTTCTGTGCTACACTGAGTAAGCGATTGCAGACTTTAGAGGTTGACTTTTATAGGTTGGGTAACAGGCTAGGGCATGGGTGAACACCATGCACTATGCAAATAGACTCATATAAATATAGTATATATCAGCCCAGGGACATTCATTCACAAGCATCAGGTTACATAGGATGGAGCCTTACCCGGGCCTTCTGCTCCATTTCTAGCATTAATCTTTCATGTTGCTCAGCTATGGCCAGTGTTGCAGAATGGACCTTCTGATAGATCATTTCTCCTTCCCTTGTTTGAAAAGTGAATAGGCCTTCTCCTGTGTCACACATTCTGTGAAGAAAGAGAGAAAGAGATGGATCTTTGTGGATTCAAGTGTTGTCAACAATTTCCACGTCAAAGATGCCCTTAACTGTCAGGTTTCCTCCTCCATACTAGTTCATTCTTGGACAAACTATTCGATATATGCATCTCTAAATGTACATTGTGGGGAACTAGAGGTGAAAATTCATGTGTACTCGGGTTTTTAAATGCTTTCCAAACTGTAAAGGAACAAATGAAAATGATTTAGACATGCTCAGTGTGGGAGTCTGAATCGTGACACTGGGGTTTCCCTACTCTCAGAAATAGTTACCATATACTCTACCATTTTTTGTGCAAAGAACAGGAAAGTCTATCAAACATAACCTATTTGAACTTAAGAATATTTGGCTTTAAGATAGATTCTGCCAAAAACAGGGGTGTACATTTAAGCAAGATGCTTAATCTATTTCTGCTTTGTTTACAAAATAGGGATAATGGAGCCAATTCATACAATCTTAAAGGTTAAAGAGTTGGTAAATAGTTTACAGTGTTGCCTAGCATACTCAGAGTGTTAAAAATTGTTAGCTACTTTCATCATAAAACTTAGAATTAATATTAATGAAAGTTTAGAGGTCACTGAATAAATATCTACCCTAGGGAAAAGCTGGGTTGATTTATTTTTGCCCAATACAAACAGTTATGTTTTTATGTTATAAGTTAGGAAGAAGTATAATACAGTTGGCACTATGGATGACAACATATTATATTATTAAAATTCTTACCGGACATTCTAGCAGAAATATCAAAAGATAAGTTTATTTTCACTTATTTAATTATAATCACTTAATAAGACAGTCTTAATTGAAAATTATTAAAAAATATATTTACAGATCATTTGAAAGGCTAACTGTGGTATAAAATCTTATTATAATTATTATTTTAGCCCAGTTGTAACTATAATTGAAAACAATCTATATCCATGTGGTATTAATTACTCTAATAGGAAGAATTAATTGAATTTCTATGCTGCTGTTTTTAAGTTAATATCATTAAAAGAGTTACAGGTTACAGTGTCAAAATATTCACGTGACAAAAACTATTGGACAATTTGGATTTTTCCCTATGACTCTCCAAGGGAATTTTAGTAGCAAAGAAATGTCTCAAGAGACTTCCAACATTGTCAGGGCTGTGACTGCCATCCCTCTGGGCCCATCCAACCAGCACTTAGCTTCTGTGAAAGCGATCTCAATAAAATTCACATGGCGTGAAATGGAAAGTCTTGGGGAAAAAAATCAAGAATTTTCAAAAGTGAAACAAATGAGCTATCTTTGTTGATGCAGGGGTGTTTGGAAATGCAAAAGCCACGGAAAACCCATTGATAAGTCCTGAACACATCTTGTTTGAAGTGGAGATTTTGTTCACTGTCAAGTGCAGAATGCTGCTTATTAGCCTCAGGAAATGAGATAATGAAGGCACAAATTGTTATTTCATACCCAGTCATTCAGATGTGAAGTGCTGATCCCTGTCCACTTCCTGAGACTTAATTCTTCCCAGTGGGAGACTTGAGTGCTTACAGGAGGGTTTCCCTAAATTTGGAAATAACTACCAAACTACCATTCACTTCCTTTGAGAAACGAACAAGCATTTGAATGCATTATAAAAAGAAAAAAAAAACATTAAGTACAAGGAGCTTCTTCTGCACTGCAGTTCTATAAACCAAGAGGAAGGTTTCAGACTCTTCACTTGTTGAGACTATTGCTTTTGTCACTCAGGTTGACTTGAGTAGTTTAGGGGTCCTTAGCATGTTTTGTCTGAAGGAGGATATGAAACAGAAGTGTAGAGCTTTTCTTATCTGCTTAAACAGTGTCGTGGTAGCAAGCCAACAGTACAGGACAAGAGAAAGAAAAGGATGCAGTAAGCTAGGTTGCTTTTGACTTGTTTTTCAAAGTAGGGCCCCAAGACAGCAATTCCTTTACCACTAGAAAATTATTTATGGTTCTGACTTCTAATCTTTATCTTAACAACGTTCCACATGGTTCATATGAACATTATGAGACTCAACCTGCTTTCCTGAATATACTCTTTCCCTAAAGCAGGAGGAGCTCAGACAGAGATGCTCATTGCATTTGAACATTCCAACTCTATGCCCACCAACTGACACTAAAGACATTCAGTGAGTGTGTTTATTTTATGAAAAGGTGAATACATGAATGGTGTGTATTTGGCCTAACTCCAAATTAAAGATGTTGTTCATAATTAAAGATGAAGGCATTATTTCTTGTCACACTTAAGATATTTGTACAGAACAAAACTTTTTCATAACTAAATTAAAATTTTTAGTTTGTTATTTATGTGTATGGGTGTGTTTCCACAAATCCTCAGATTCCACACTCCTCTGAGTTCCTCTCTCTTCCCCTTTATATTTCTCTCTGCATCCAGCCATATCACTTTTGTCTCCACCTCCCCAGTGCTTGGGTTAAAAGTGTGTGACTCCCAAACACTAGGATTAAAGGTGTGAACCATCACCACCTGGATCTGTTTCTGGATTGATCTTTTAGTTCAGGGTAGCATTGAACTCACAGAGATCTGCCTGCCTCTGTCTCCTGAGTCCTGAGATTAAAGGCGTATGTTACCACCCCACTCCCTATGTCTGACTTGTGTGGCTGCTTTGCCCTCTGATCTCTAGGCAAGCTTTATATATTAAAACACAGATAATATACCACTGAATATATAATATAATATAATTAATATAATATAAAGAATAATATATTCTTCTGAAAAACTCAACTTCAATTCCCAAGACCCATGTCAGGCATCTCTTTTACCACCTATAACTTCAATCCCAAGGGAGCTGATACCATCCCCTGGACTCTGTGGATATGACCTCTATGCAAATGTGTGATAATACTTGCATTCCTAGCAACATAGAGAATTCAAGGCCAGCCTGGGATACTCGAGACTTTGTCTTAATCTCACCCTCCAGAACATAATTTAAAATAGTTACCTTAAAATATCTGGGTAAAATAATTTTGATTTATCTTTCAGGAAGTTTTCAGCAGTAAAATAGAACCAAAGCAGATTCCCTAACACTCTTATATTTTTCTTTAGGATTTAAAATTAACATTCAAATGTAGACAGTAATGAAACTCTCAATACCACAGTAATGAGAGCAATTTAAACCAATTAACACTTTTATTCTGTTCATGATTTAATCTTAATTATTACCTAATAAGGTAGGTATTTTACTTCTTTACTGTGGAAAGATCCTTTCTGAAAATTCTGGTGAGTAAACTTAGAAACAGAAAAAAGTCTAGAAACAGACCGAATGCCTTTGAGTCAAGTGACTGACCAAATCGAATCCCAGGTAGTGAAGGGAAGTGGGATTTTCCACAAATTGAGCTAGATATGTGTTATTAAAAAAAAAAAAAACAAAACCCTGGGCTGGGCAGTGGTGGCACACGCCTTTAATCCCAGTACTTGGGAGGCAGAGGCAGGCAGATCTCTGTGAGTTCGAGGCCAGCCTGGTCTACAAGAGCTAGTTCCAGGACAGCAACCAAAAAGCTACGAAGAAATCCTGTCTTGAAAATCCAAAAAAAAAAAAAAAAAAAAAAAAAAACAACCCTGTGATGTCTCTCTATACAGTTATTTAAATTCCTATTTTTAAATAAAATGCTGATAATAGTACAATACAAAAATGTGAAAGAATTAGTAAATAAACTAAGGAATTTCAGGTCAAAATGTGATAGACTGATGAATGCATTTCTGAAAATACTCTCTGTGTGTATTATGTATGTGTGTCATGTATGTGCATATGCCTGTGCAGGTATGCAGTCAGGCCTGTGTATGTGTGAGGAGGCCATAGACTGATACTGGGTGTCCTGTTCTTTTACTACATACTCTATTTCTTTAGTCATGATCTGTCACTGAGCCTGGAACTATGGCAGTGGCAGTTCTCTCTTGTGGGCCCATGTGTGGTCACGCTTGGCTTTTTATGTGGGTGCCGAGATTCTAATTCTGGTCCTAATGATTGCACAGCAAGCACTACTACCCATAGATCCATCTCTCTGGCCTTGAAAAATTAACTAAAAAAATAAACCAGAGATATAAGAAAAAAACTAGAAGTAGTAGAACTAACTGCACTAATAGTTTCTCACCTATAAAACAGAAAGATGTATAGTATTTTAGAGTGTTTTCATTATGTGTTTGGAATACTGAGATAACACAGTCAACTCTTAGGAGTACCTGTAATTAAGTGACTATAGTTATTACTACTACTAAGGATAGAATTCCAAAAGAAATGTCTAAATAAGAACAAAGATGAAAATATTATACACAGTGTGCTAATGTTTCTGTAAAAATATTGAGACAAAAATCTCAGTAGCTAGGAAGAATTAGGGAGATTTATTGTACAGAATTGTGCCTATAGCAATTTTTCATTTTTTATTGTTTTTTATTGAGCTATATATTTTTCTCAACTTCCCTCCCTTCCTCCCCCTCCTTCTCTGCCCTCTTCTATGATCCCCATACTCTCAAGTTACTCCGGTGATTTTGTTTTTTTCTACTTTCCACAAGATTTCCTGACAAAAATGGGAGCATAGGGATGAGAGGAGTAGGGAGGGCAGAAGGGGAAGATGAGGGAAAAAGGGGAGGGGGGAGGAGAACTTGAAGGAATGGGATAGTCGAGATGGAGGAAAGACAGAGATGAGAACAAGGAAGGAGATATTATGATTGAGGGAGCCATTATGGGGCTAGTGAGAAACCTGGCACTTGAGAAATTCCCAGGAATTCACAAGGATGACCCCAGCTAAGACCCTAAGCAATGGAGGAGAAGGGGCCCCAACTGGCATTGCCCTGTAGTCAGGCTGATGAATATATTAAATACCACCATAGAACCTTCATCCAGCAACTGATGGAAACAGAAGCATAGACCTGCATCAGAGTACTGGACTGAGCTCCAAAAGTCCAGTTGAAGAGTGGGAGGAGTGAGAATATGAGCAAAGAGGTCAAGACCCTGATAGGTTCACCACTGA